TCTGCCCCCTGAGTACTGTACCCAACTAGGGGTCAATTCTCTAGGCACCGCCCACCTTGGTTTTTAAAGATAGGGTCTCTTGCTAGCCTGGAACTCACCCAAGTAGGTTAGGCTGGCTGGCCAGTGAGTCCCAAGGATCTACCTGTCTCATATCTATACTTCGCCAGCATTGAGATGACCACTATGCCTGACTTAAAAACAAAAACAAAAGAACACTAACCACAAAAACTGGACATAGTGGTACCTTTAATCCTAGCACCAGGAAGCCAGAGACAGGTGGATCTCTGTGAGTTTGAGGCCAGCCTGGTCTACAGAGTGGGTTCCAGGACAGTCAAAGCAACATAGTGAGATCCTATCTTGGGGGGAAAAAGTTCTGGGAATCAAAGCCAGGCTCTTATGCTTGCAAGGAGAGTATTTTACTGACTGAGCTGTTTCCCCAGCCCACATTTGTCACTGTCTTAAGATGAAGTCCCATGAGCCACAACTGTATACTTCCTACCATGAGTTCATAGCCAACAAAAGGACTCAGATCCAGGGACCAGTTCAAGGTCATGCAGGCAGTGAGAAAAGGAGCTGTCACAAGTGCCCAAGGCTCAGGGTGTTTGGCTAATATCCCAAATCCTTGGGAGCCAATTACCCTTGGACTAAGTGCATGAGTAAAAAGACCCAGATGGAAACAGGCAATTTGGGCAGAGCTCCCGGAGCCCAGGACAAGCCTGTAGAGCTGGGCAGTGCTACCATCCTGGGGCTAGGAATATAGGCAGCAGAGAGCATCTGCAGGTCAGATTCCTGGCAGATGAGGGGAGAGGGAAGAGACCTTGGGTTAGGGGAAAGGATCAGAAGGAGAGAAGAGACAGGCTTTGAGGGTAAAGGGCCAGGACTACCCACAGTCCTACCCTAGAGTGAAGACTGTGCCTAGATTTGCCCCTTCTCCAACCTGACTCTAACATTCTTGATCACACCTTCCAGAAGAATAGGGCTCTTGGGGCAGCCCCAAGGGAGGGTTTTGATGATGGTAAGGGCAATGATGCTTTGGCAGTAGGAAGAGAAGGAGAAAGAAACAAGTAGTAAGGTCATGTGGCTACGCTTTTGTCTTAAAGTTGTACGTTCTATCCTCCTTTAATGATTTAAAATTATATACCATGGTGATGGCAGGAATTCTAGGAAGTCCTGGCAAAAGAAAAGTTGTCACACCTATATTCATCCTTCAGTTAGAATTGTTAATTGGTTCATAAACCCCACAGAGTTTGGATCTTACCCACCCTGGGGCACAGGACAGCACATGCTGCAAGTACTGGGTAATGCCATCATCATTTGGATTACAAGGCTGGGGTTTAGAGCCTCAGAAAACCAGGCAGGGCTGGAGCAAACTGCTGGCTGCTTGGCTTCCATTCTCTTTTCTTCAGAATGGGAGACAGCTATTAGGAGATGCTCTCCTGAAACCCCAAAGCAGCAGTGGTAACCCATGAATTTGACAGGGCAATTGCGCTTAGGGGGGCCCAAGCTCAGAGCACATAGCTGTGCTCCTGGCCAAAAACTTAACGAGGAGGCAGCCTGCCCATGGGTCAGAAGGTTTATCAGTAACAGCCGCAGAGAGTTCTGCTGACCACAAGAAAAGCACTAATGTGGACATCAGCCAGGACACAGACCCAGAGCAAACCCACAGGCCACTATTCCAACCTCTAGCTGAGTCTCCAGCTCCGTTTCTGGTCCCGTCGTGAGTCATCTCACCCCTGTGGTCAGTCAATCCAATTAGCCCCTGCCCTATGCCAAGGGTGGGGACACAGGCATCACCCAGGAGACATGGTGAATATGTTCGTGCTGTGCGATTTCAAATGACAATGTATGTATTCCCATGTATCTCTTTTACCTTGTCCCACGAAGAGGCAATCAGAACTGAAGAAATTGATCTGTGCTATGCACACGGTTGGTTCTGCACGCTGTTGACAATTCGCTCAAGCTCGGGGCACATTTTTGCAGAGTGAACATTTGCACCCCAAACCAGGGTTTTCTCTATCACAATCTTTCATTCCCTCTCTTGTATAAGTTTTCCAGTCTGGTTCCCCAACTGTGTCATGATCTTCTGGGAAAAGAGATTGTCCAGTATTTGGGCACGGTTTCAGGCATGGGTGACACAGTCAGATGCCACAGAAAAGGCCCTCAGGTGACACATTATCACAAGCAGTCTCAACCCTCAAAGGTCAGTCCTGAGAAAGTAGCTCTGCTGGCCTGAGGGTACAGAGAAAGGGCTCACCCACCCCTGGATCTTTCTGGCACCCAAGAAGGTAATTTGCCCACACACCCAGCAACAAGGGAAAGCAGAGGCAGAAGGGTTGGCTGTGGCCTTCCCTGGGGTCTGCAGTGAAGGTGTCAGAAGAGGGAAGGAACAGGGGCCATCCTGCCTGCCCCAGGGTGGCATCTTCACACCACCTCCTAGGGCAGGACACTGTCTATCTCAGGCACTGCTTTAAGGTGTGGGTGGCCCTTTCCACCATTGGTCCTGTTATGACAGAGGGGTTGTCACCAGGGTTCTTGGGTGCAGAAAGAATGTGGGGTGATGGAGTAGCCGTGGGGGAGGGGCAGTGGCACTCTTCCAGCCCCTCATAGGCTCTGTACAGTATCAACTCCATTCCCCAGACACTGAAAGACACCCGTTGCTGACACCATGGCGTTGAGTTTCCCCTGGGCCAGCTCAGGCTCCTGTCACCAGGCCTGCCAGGAAATTGCTGTTGACACCAAGGGAAGGGCCTCAAGACCAGGAACAGGGAAGACTGAAGACGGTGGTGTTGAGTTTATGAAGTTCTGAATGGGCACTAGCCAGGATGGGAGCAAGTAAGAGAACTGTAGATCTGAGGAGGTCCTGACCATGAGGCCTGGAACCCTCCATCTCCATCTTGTCCTGCCTCTCCTGGTCTCTCCTTGAGTGCCTGGAGAATCTTGGAGCTTATGGTCAACATGGTTGTATGAAAGGCGCCACTGTCCAAGGGCTATAAGACCCCTCCATATCCCCAGAGTTACTCACCCTCCCCTGCAATCTCAGAGAGGAAAGCCGGGGCCCCTTACCACTGTGCATGTTCCAGAAGCCCCAGAAGCTATAACCTGGGGAGCAATCATGTCTCCTCTGACTGATGCTGTCAACCAGCTCTGGTGCAGCTTGCTCTGTATCCTCACCCTGTATCTGAGCCCTGCCCCAACTCCCCTGGCGTCTGTCTTCTCTGCTGCATTTCTCAAAAATTTCCTTTGCCTTGGCTCCCAGGTGCTCCTGAGTGTTCCAAAGGCGTCGAAAAAAACTGGAAAAATCTGGGGCAAGCATTAGATGAAGGGTCTTGAAACCATCTTCAGATAGCCTCACTGTTACTGCCCCCTCCACTTCTCCAAGGGGAAGTGTTTTTGTGTTGGGGAGGTTGGGGATGGAATGACCCGGGCTGCAGAGCACCCTGGGCCTTCAGGAGCAAAGAAATGTCTATGGACTGTTCCACAGCAGCCTTTCCTCCAGGTGAGAGTTCTCATCCTTAGCCTGCAACATCCCGAGGGAATTGGTCCTGGATTGGCCCAGTCCAGCCCCAGGCAGGAGCAAGAGGAAAGCCAGAGGGTGGGGAAGGCCCTTTTTGGAGTGGGGAAAGGCCAATCTTGCAAGAAAGCCATAGAAGTTGGCCAGACCTGGGCTACAGGGTCGAGATGGTGGTGTGGTGATGGTGTTATGGACAGGAATGCAGGAAGTAGCTTACCTGGATATAGCAAGGTGAGAATAGCGGGAGTCCCAGAAGGCTCTGGGTAGTTTCGGGTACCAGGCAGGGCATCTGGGGCTGACCTCAGCGGCCAGAGGTCGTACCTCCACACCACATAAAGGAAAGTCACTCTGCCCATGCAAAGACCAAGCAGGTTCTGGGTAGGGATTCCAACTTGCTGTTCCCAAAAGTGGTATTAACAAATGACAAAACTGCTTTGATATTCTTGTTTTTCAGTTTACTCAAGAAAGGGCATTAAATAACAACCAAAAGAATGATATTTAAAAAAGAAGAGGAGGAGGGGTATTGCGGTGGTAGAGGTTAAGCCAGGGTCACTCTGAAGACAGCTGACTGAAAGAACTCTGGAGTCCACAGGGCACAGGTCAGGCCAGCTCCAGGGCTGGGAGAGGTCAGGCCCCAGCTCCAGGGCTTCGAGGGTCCACCAGGAAAACAGATGAAGCTGTGTGCTCAGGGTCCCTGTACCTTGTTCACTCCTCAGTGAGACAGAGACAGAGCAGAAAGGAGGAGGGTGCATTTCAGACTCTAGGTCGACCTTTACATGCTGTGTGACTCCACACAAGTGCCTGAGTCTCTCTGTGCCGGCGTTTCCTCCTCTCTACAAACAGTTCTGGTGAGCGGTGAGACTGCACACAGGAAGCCTGCTAACTAGGTGACTGTGGCAGTCACCACACATGATTAGTCAGTGCTGTGATTATGATTCCAACCCAGTCCAGCTGACTATTTCATATAAAAACAAAGTAACTTCAATTACGCGGAATGGAACCCGATTTTATAGTATTTGTTACATTGCATGACATTGATTTTTTTCCTTTTTTTTTTAAGCTTTTCATCCTGCTCCCACCCCCACCTCCCCTCTTCCCTCACCCCCGCCCCCTGCCATAGCTCTTGCTATTTAAACCAGGCCGGCCTGAACTCACAGAGATCTCCCTGTCTCTGGCTCCTGAGTGCTGGGATTAAAGGTGTGTGCACCACTGTGCCCAATTTCTTTTCTTCTTAATTGTACACATGAGTGTCTGTGTGGGGGTAAGTGATGGTGAATGGGGGTGTCTCTAAGATCTGCAGATGGAATTACAAGCAGTTGGGAGCTGCCCTACGTGGGTGCTGGGAACCAAACTCAGGTCAGAGACTATGCTTTCCTAAGTTCTGGTCATTCTCCAGCCCCTAGCTTCCTGAGGTCGGAGAATATACCTTAACTGCTGGCTGTCTCTCCAGTCCCTAGTCTTCTTATACAAACTTACCATCCAGAAGCTCTAGATTTGAGAATTTATGATTATGTAAAAGTATTATTACGTGTTGTTAGCTTCCAAGAATGTTCCTGCCAGTGGGAAGCAGAGAGACAAAGTTCCCGTCCTTATGAATCTAGTCGCATGACAGAGACAGTAAACAAGAAAGCAAATAAATTGGTAATATACTTTCAAAAACCCATCCCGTATTGAGGCTGCGGAAAGTCAAGACAAAGAAGAAATCATGAATGATGCCAAAAAGCGCAATCACTTGACTCAGAGGAACAAAAATAAGGATTACAGCAGATGATAGAGGATAGCGAGTACTTGAAGCATTGACATGAGATACCTAGAATTCTGCGTCCCATGAAATGGTCCTTCAAAGTGAAAGTGAAATAATGACTCTCGGACAAACAATGTCAGTGCCAATAAGAGCTGTGAGGCAAAATAGAACAGGGGAGGGGATCTGCACACAATGGGGAGGGGATCTGCACATGATGGGGCGGACTGTCTTTTCAAAGACCTCGCTCTAAGACGCTGCCTAAACAAAGTGAAAGAGCGGGACGTGAGTCACGTGACAGGGCAGAGGGTGCACTGGACAGTACCAACAGCAGGGCAGAAGCCCCGAACCCAGATAGGGTGTGAGAGTAATAGAGAGGCCCACGCAGTGGGAGCACCGAAGGCCCCGGGTAAAGGGGTGTGAGGAGAGACCGGTAAAGTAGAGACTCAGATTGCAGAAAGAGCTTTGATTTGCTCTGAGTGTTACGAGACGCTGTGGCCAAGGGTGGTGGCATCCATTTTAAACTTTTAGAGGGTCACTCTGGCTTTGGTTTGTGGAGGAGAAGAAGAGACTAGCTGGAGGGCATTGCAGCGGTCCAGGTCCCAGGGTAGCAGTAGAAGTCACTGGACTCTTGGTATATCCAGAAGGTGCTATCAAGTGTGCTGAAGCCGGCCTATGAGGAAACAGAAGAGGCTGTGTGGACTTTTAGCCTGACAGCTGTTGTGAGGATCTGGGACACTAGCAAGCTGTGGCAGACTTACTTGTTTGAGTATGTGATGTCTGAGGTGTCCATTAGGTCCATCACCAGGCTCCTGGAATGTAGGTTCAGGACTCTGGGAAATGAGAGAATATCACTTGGGAGTTGGCAGGGGCAGAGAGACAGCAGCTGGAACACTGGACCATGTTAAATCTTGGGGCTATCTTAGAACCCTCAGGAAAAAACACACAGCTCCACTAAGGCCAGTGGAAAAGATCTTTGTACTTTTGTCCAGCAAGGTTGGACCATTCTGGCAACACCAGAGACCTGCTGTTGTCCTGCCTTGTTTCCAGCAGCCCTCTCAGTACACTCCCCCTCCCCCCATGCTGAAGACTACAGTGAAGCAGGGGTCTGACAGCAAGGGACCAAGAGAAGACATGTTCAGGAGTTGACTGAGAGGGACAGTGACCGGGGTGGGGGTGGGGGAGACAATTGGATATACCCATGAGCCACCCAGTTCCCAGGCAGGACTTAAGATCATCTTACATGGCATCTTGTATCCATACACCTCCAGTTCTCAGTATGAACACAGTGTGCCCTCCAACTAACAACTGCACCAGGTTCCCCAAAATGTGGCAAATGGAGGTTAAGACCCCTAACACCCACCAACATTCCTGTTAAGAAACGAAAGCAAACCTGAGACTCAATGCCCTGTACAGGCAGCCTTAGCCATGGCATAGTAACACTGCTACGTTGTCATCCTGTTTGTTTTTATAGCTGTTCTGTTTATGGCAAGTGCTACTCATGTTCCATTTATAGTAAGGACGTGAAATTTCCTCCCAAGAAAGATACACATGTGTGTGTGCAGCAGGTTAAAGGAAAATGTTAGTAATACAAGCACACTCAGATGTAACCAAAACCACAGAGGTTCTACTCAAAGTGATTAAAGTCTGAAAAACATGACCCTAAAAGATACAGAAACAAAACATAGCCCTGAGCTCATCCTTGTACACATAGTTTACAATCACCCAAACCTCCCCGGGGCCTAGGGGATTCATCTCCTTTCCTTTGTCCCTTTCTTACTTCCTGCAGCCCACAAATGCCCCCTTTTTGTGGCCAATTAACCCCTCGGAGCTGACCAAAGGGAAAAATTCTCTGTTCAATTCTTATCACCAGACCACAAATTCAAATGCTTATTGATGTTTTCCTATGCAAATTTGAGAGAGACCCTCTACATCAGCAAAGATTGCACTGGACCCTGGGAATAAACGTGGCACCTGATCACACTTGTAACTCTAGAGGATTGTGTCTTCAGAATGGGTTTTGGTGCGACCTTGTCTCAGGCAGCCCTTGGCCGAAGCAAGACCCCAAGCAAGCTCTGAGATCTAGGTGGTTTCCCACCCAGCACTGTGGGTCAGTCAGATAAGTATGCCAGGGTGAGGTCTTCTGACTCCAACAGACAGAAACCCAGAGGACCATTGCAGAAGGTAATCAGATATGAGTCATGCTGACCCCCGTAGGACCTCATGGAAGCCTCTCTCTGGAGACCTTTGGCCCAGTGATGTTATCCCGCAAGTAGGAAGTGTAGGTTCTGGGCTCTTGTACCTCCAGCTGCAGCCAGGCTGAGGAAGGCACAGCTGTATTGCCGGAGGCTGTGTCTCTTAAGAAGGAGAAACATCCGGCCAATTCCATCAAGAATGTCAGTCAAAGACCTGGGGAGGGATCAGCCAGCTTGCCATTCTGTCTAGCCAGCTCTTGTGTCATAGGAGCAAGCGCTAGGACCTTCTTAAGCCGAGATAAGGGGCTGCCTGTCTCCTGAGGGCTGTGGCCTCTACTCCCCCCACACACCCCCAAAGCTGCCGGCTCACAACTTGGGGGAGGCACAGGGCCTCTCAGGATGTGACCCAGGATGTGGGGACCTGCAGGCTCCTCAGAGAGATATGCAGAGGTGAAAGGGCAAACCTGTTTCTAGTCTTCTTATCAGGGGTGACTGAGTGAAAGGGAAGTGGGCAGCCCTGGAGGTCAGGCTGGGGGATCATGGCTGGGAGGGTCATGGCTGGGGCAGGGCTCAGTCCAGAAGACCTTGGAGGAGACCCAGCTTGGCAGAGAAGAAAAAGAAATGGGTAACATGGGGGCCAGAGAGGGAAGGTCCTGGAGGAACAGCCTGTTCCCGAGCGGGAGCAGAGTTAGGGTGGCAAACCATCTAGATTTGGTCAGACTCAGAGAAATTCCGAGACCAGGATTCTCCGGTTCAAAAATGGGATGGTGGGTCACCTGGGATGCAGCCTGGTTATGCAACCGCCCGGCTCTACCCTGCTTCCTGTTTGCATGTCCTGTTCCCACCACCCACCCACTGTATGCATTTCACAGCGTTAGTGCCACTGTGTGTCAGGTTCACTGCCAGTGAATTCCTTGGAATTCCCAGGGAAAGGACCAACATGTCTTTGCCTGTCCATGAACTTGGAGATGGCATATTCTTCAAAGCCTAGATGGAGTCCTTCCTCCCCAAGCCCCCCATTGGGGCATGTATCCCTGTGGGGCTGTGTCTAACACAGTGGGTGCCTAGCACAGGATCCGAACACAGGAGGTTCTTGGTGTTTGTCTCGGGTATAGAGCCTGGGTACTGAGGGCAGGCACCCTCCTCCTAGACTCACAAGCACACAGACACATTTAATCTTCGAATGACATTTCCCTCACCTCAGAAGAGTGGAACTAACAGATCTTTAAGCAGGCACCCACTCTCAAGCTGGGGAGCAGGGAGCAGAGGTAGACCTGTGGACAGACCCCAGCCTTGGTCAGGAGAAAGGTAGCATCTGGGATAGGTGGATTGTGAGGAGACGGGAATGACTTGGCTTCTCTTGAGAGATCTGGGCTTTGGACTCCACCTCCCTGCTCCTTCAAGGGTCCCACCTGCAAAGAGTCCACAGTGTACCTGCCAGGTATGTATACATGAGGGCATTTTGAGAAGACAGAATCCAGCTTAGGATCCTGCGTCTGAAGAAACCAGTGGGACTGTGAGTGGAAGCTACGTAGTTAGAGTACAGCAAAAACTAACGGTGAGATAAGGATAAGAGAGGCTGGGAGACACTGGGGAACCTGTATAAAAAGGAACTTTCAACCCTTTTATACAGTTCTTTGTGTTGTGGTGAAACCCAACCATAAAATTATTTTCGTTGCAACTTAATTGTGCTGCTGTTATGAATTGTAATGTAAATATCTGTGTTTTCCAATGGTCTTTTAGGGTTGCGACCCACAGGTTGAGAACCTCTGCTCTGGACAAATTCTAGAAGTACTTGTGACCAAGGCCAAAGCACAGAGGGGAGGCCAGTGTTTATGTCCTGCCCCCTAGTGGCAGGTTTTATATTGCAACCCCATGGTGTTTAAGGAGAGCTCAGTGAGGGGTAGCCCCTGTCTTTAAGGCCTGGTCTTCCATCATTAGGATGGAAGCCCTTGAGTATTCTAGGAACAGCTGCAACCCAACCATTCCCAACCAGCTGGAAGAAAGGAGGATGTGGGAAGCTATGCCACAGAACCTGGCAGAATCGAGCCTAATACATGTTTTATCCACAGGCCAGAGGGACAGGGAAAGCAGAGAAGGGACTTTTGTTTTTGTTTTAGGTGTATTTATTTATGTGTATGAGTGTTTTGCCTGATAATATGTCTGCACACCACTTATGTGCCTGGTGCCCACAGAGGCCACTAGAGGGTGTTGAATCCCCTGGAAGTGGAGTTAAAGACAGTTCTGAGACATCATGTGAGTTCTGGGAATCAAACCCAGGTCCTCTGTAAAAAGAACAAGTGCTCTTAACCACTGAGTCATCTCTCCAGCTTCAGCGCTGGGGTTATTTGACGTTCATGCATCCAGAATTGGCTTAGAACTGAATCGTAATCTCCAGTTTCTGACACACTTCACACTTGCATTTAGCTAATTAGTCCCTTAGCTATTTTTCATAATACTCAGACTCCCATGAACAAGGGAAACTCAGTCTACATTTTTTCTTTCTTTTTCTTTTTTTTTTTTTTTTGGTTTTTCTAGACAGGGTTTCTTTGTATTGTTTTGGAGGCTGTCCTGGAACTCACTCTGTAGACCAGGCTGGCCTTGAACTCACAGAGATCTGCCTGCCTCTACTTCCCCAGTGCTGGGATGTTCGGTCTTCATTTTCAAGTGAGGCTTCCCCACTTCCTTCCAAAGGAAGTTTCACATGGAATGCCAGTACACACAAGGGGCAGGTGTGGCTGAGACAGAGGTGAGAGGCTGCCTGCTTCTCCTCCCTCTGCAGAGCAGCTCCAAGTGGATTCTCTAAATAGATTATTTAGAGGATGCTCTATGCCACAGTATCCAAGCAGTGGGGGCCTGTTTCCATACCCTGGAGTCCATCACATACCCAGGCTAGGCTGTGTTGAACACAAATGTTGGGTGGAATGTAATAAAAGAGAGAAATTTGTTCCAGTTTTACCAGATCTGCTGTGAGAATAAGAAGCACAATGTCTCTCTGCCCCTAAGATAGCCCCATGTTGGCAAGGGTAACACTGTGCCTAAAGTTTCCCCGTCATTTCAGAGTCTGACCCTGAGAGTCCTCCTGGTCCCAGAATAAATGCTATGCTCTCCATGAAGCTTTCCCAGATGCTGCCTTTGAACACTGCATCCATTTTATGACACCTCTCTCTTCACACCCACTCAGCCTTGCCTGCATACCTGCCTCCTTTCTCCACCAGTGTAGACGCGGCCTCCATCCAGAGCGGGAGATGAGGCGTGGCTGGCTGATTCTGCCGTGCATCTCAGTGCTTTGCACAGTGACATTCGTTAAATGTTGGGGAAAGAAGAAAGGGTCTCCGGATGCTCCTTCCTTGGGACGCTAGATCTGCAGAAGGGCCTGTTCATGTGCTCCAGGAGTGACACCTGGAACCAATTTGACCTTCTATGACATTAAGTTGATCGGCTCCACAACTGTCACCAAGTACAGAGCTTGGAGTGGATCCAGGTTAGGTAAGTTTGGGTGGAAAAGGGGGTGTCTTGGGCCTACTGTGCCAGAGCCATATGCTGGATGTGTCCTTAGAAGTCAGTAAGCTTAGCTGTGGAGGAGCTGGAGGGAGGGGCCTGAGGCGCCAAACAGCAGACAACAGCTAACGGGGAGT